AAAAAAAAAAAAAAAAGGCACTTAAAGAGGAGTCCTAAGAACAGAGGCACCGTTCCCTGCTCATCTTTTTTTTTTTCTCATCATTTTCCATTCATTACCAAGAGAAAAAACACTTTTTCTCTTGAAAACACGAAAGGAGTTGCCAACAGCAGATGCAGAATGAGAGGCAGGAGCAAGAGAAGAAGGTGGAGGAGAAGGAGGAGGAGAAGGAGGAGGAGAGAAGGAGAAGGAGGAGGAGGGGGAGGAGGAGGAGGAGAAGGAGACGGAGGAGGAGGCGAAGCAGGAGAAGCAGGAGAAGGCGGAGGTGGAGGAGAAGATGGAGGAGAGGAGGAGGAGGAGAAGGAGGAGAAGGAGGAGAAGGAGGAGAAGGAGGAGGAGGAGGAGACGGAGGTGGAGGAGGAGGAGGAGGAGGAGAAGGAGAATGAGGAGAAAGTGCAACAAAGATTACCATTGCAGCGCCAGTATCAAAACTATGCAGTAGGATGTCTTGTGGATAATACCGGCTGAGAGAAAGTCCACATCACACAGAGAAGGAGACAGAGTGGGTGAGACAGCCATGAGGGCTATGGAAAGCTTATAGATCAAACAGATCAGATGAATTCACAAGAGGTCCACGGAACCTTCTATTAACAGTTCAGGTTAAGAAGATTGTGGAGCACCATGCAAGCTCTTCCCTACGTGAAATGGCCATACAAGCTTACAGAAAGCATGGATGAAGTTTTTTTTTTTTTTTTTTTTTGAAAAACCAGTGACGCCTACTAGGGGAGGTGGTACGAGCAGCCTCCTCTCGTAACTGTCCCCCGTTGCTCCATCTATTGGTCGGCAATGGTGGCGAGTTTCACCTCCCCCTGGAAACCGGGTCCAGCGTCCAACGGATGAAAAAGATAGCAACAATTCCGCCAGCATTGATTACCCCTGGTTACACAGGGGGATTGACTGCACGGTAGGGAAGTTCACGTGACAGCAGTGCCTCTTCGCCCTTTCACTGGGCGTCTAATATATCCTGTCATACCCAGCATCCTTGACATCATCTACATTCCAATATCAAAAAAAAAAAAAAAAAAAAAAAAAAAAAAAAAAAAAAAGAAAGAAAGAAAGAAAGAAGACATCATCTACACTCCCTCAAATGGGGGTTCCTCTTAAGAGGAATTATTACCTCAGCTTTCGGGATTGGTTCTCAATTCAACCAGGATTTTCCCTTAGATCCCCAATGTTTTGGGTGGATCCTTTCCCACCCTCTGAGCTTTCTCTGGTTGATCTTCAATGGTATGGTTGGGAAGCGAAGGACTAATGAGTGTGCCGCAGATTATAGAAATTTTTGGCTTTGTGTCAGGGGATAAGTTAGCTTGCAGTTAAGGAGAATGTTTTGGAGGCCACAGAGGGATTGGAAAGTCCCGAATTGGCTGAAGAAGTAATACTTATCCCCACCACATTTGTGAATATTCAAAGCAATATTTGCTTAAGGGACGCTGGACAGGGTTTCCAGCAGGTGCAGCTCCCCACCAAAAAAAAAAAAAAAAGAAACAAGTGCGGTAGTAGCACACTTCCAAACTGTAAAGGCAAAAAAAACACTAATGGGCAATGGCAAAATGGCCGCAGTTCGAAAAGGCAGTCATAACATCAGAAGGCGGTAACATCAGGCCCCGAGTTTGAAAAGGGCGGTT